ACAATGTTGAGTAACGGAGCGCCACAACCGCTGCAGCCGCAACATATGCGAAATGGAAGCAGCTCCAACACTCAATATCCTCGTCATATGAGCACAGGTAGCTTAAATATTCCAAATGGTCAATCGGGTCCGATCAATGGTGGTTCTGCGAGAGCAGATGGTGTTGCAAGAAGTCCTCCCACTAGACAAAGTAAGAATTGAAAGCTCCCGGGGTGTTGTTGGTGATAAAGTTACTAATGCGGCTTTTGCATAGATACCGGTCATGTTCCGTGTAAATTCTTTAGACAAGTGAGTAAAGTTTAAGCTGCTAAAATCCCAGGTATGATCGAGTTGCTGATGGTTGGAGTTGTTAGGGTACTTGTCAAGGTATGTCATATCTTCTGAAGCATTTCATCACCGGAGCCTTCAACTAATAGGTCATCTATAGCTGGTCAAGCTTGTCCTTTCAGTCACGATCTGGCTAGCACAACTGATAATGTCTGCAAATACTTCTCAAAGGTATGTCATTTCACTTGCAAAGTCAGTCAGTCAGCTTCTAACGTTCTGCGAAGGGTAACTGCAAGTTCGGACCTAAATGCGCAAATATACACGTTCTCCCCGATGGAAGACGAATCAATTATAATAAGAATATGCCACCGATGGCTCCGGGATTGAACATTGGAGGACGAATAAACCCAGATCCATATCATGGACAAGGTTCGGCTTTAACCACTTCCTTTGCTCGAGCTCAAGGTGTACCACCTTCACCATATGGTCAACCTTACTCACCTTTTGAAATGCAAGAGGATGGGTTCGTTCCCATGATTGGCAGACATCAAGGTATTGATATCGGTATTCCTACGATTGAAGCGAGTTATGCGTCGCATCCCGGATCAAATTATGGATCGCCTAGGGATGATATAATGGATCGATTTGGTGGAGGACTTTCGCCAGTTGCAGCAAAGGGATTGAGTGTGTTAGATGCTCCTTTGCCAGCTTCGTTCGATAGTAATGGTGTTTCGTGGATTGCAAGACATGGAAAGATAGCATCCTCAGTTCCTACGACCTTTGGTATCGATTCTCCTCCAGCATCATCAGTCGGTGGAGGAAAGCCATCAGATGCCCTAAGAAACCTGCATAGCTCTGCATTCGGAGATGATACTAGAGATCGATTCCATGGGGTTGCATCATCTCCACCATCCGAAGAATACTTTGGCAAGCGCACTATGCATTCTCAACGATCGACCAAACCAAAGATGATATCAGCAAGTGTTCCCAAGGGACGCGAGGAGCAAGATTGGGGTGAGGCTTTTAACTTTGAAGAAGATTTACTGCCAGAATCTCTTAATGATCTTATGACACCAGCAGAGAAAGCTAGAAGAAATTCTCGGGCTGCTTATGATGAATCCAAGCCATCTCGAGGATTTTACGATGAGATTAGATCCACATCTTACACCCCAAGCAATGATACCCCGACAAAATTCGGCTCTCCATCAAACGGAAGTCCTTCTAGGTGGAATGCTTACTTTCAATCAAAACCCAAGGAAGAAGAGATTTCCCGAGCATCAGTATTTGGACATGTTGGCTCACCTCTTCGTAATTCCCTTCTTCATGAAGGAGCTAGTCCTGGCTCTAGAGCAATGGCTCGACCTAATACATCTGGTGATGCGTCTTCGTTTATTGCGTCTCCTCCTCGTCATACTCCTCTATCTATGATTTCACAGCAACTTCAACGAACTCGTCTTTCCGGAACTGAACCTATTGGTAGCGGATCCAGCCTTCTTTCATCATCATCAGCTCGTACTACAACTACTCCCACAAGTTCAAGTCGATCGCCTTTTGCAGCTGATAGACAAACTAGCTCAAGTAGTATTGGTGGCAGTGGCAGATTTACAACACCGATTGATGAGGAACAGGGTGATTTTGTCTTTAACATGGAAGGCATGGATGATGATGAAAGAAGTCAGAAGAAAAGCAGTCCTTGGAACATCTCAGGAAGTGACAAGAGCCCAAGCCTAGCCGCTATTGGTGGTGGTCGACCCATTCCAACCAATAAGACTCACGGCAGTGGTATCGATGGAATGTTTGGTGGACAATGATTTTGATCGTCAATTTTTGGGTTAAGTTCGCAGTGTCGCTTAACTAACTATTGGATGTTTCGGACTTCATCATACACAAATCGAATTGCGATCTTCACTTCTCTTGTACCCTTGGTTATTCGGTTCACATCTACACAACAGCGCTCAACATTCGACTCACTTGCACACATATCTCCGAACATATTACGATTGTATCATAAAGAGTTTGACCTTGGGGTTTCTTATAATACAACTGGAGTTGATCACAAAGTTCATTCGCTCTCTCTGCGATTTTGCATAATAGGGTAACGACGGAAATTTGGGAAATATGGGAGTTTGTTATGTTTTTCTTCATTTGGGAAGCGGGGAGTTCTTTTATGAGGTAATATGATCATAGCAAAAGGCAAAAGATCACTGCAAATACTGCATACATACTAGAATGGGTTTGAATGATAGGAAGAGAGAATGACAATGAGAGTTTGTAGATTATGATATGAGTATTCTGACTGTGAGTGAATGTGAGTGGTTGTGAGTGAGTGATTGCTTGATTCTGATTGGCTTGTATTCACGAGTAAACAAGATAAATTAGATATGCAACAGAAGAGAAGAGATGTCCAGGTGGATATAATATCTATCCAATAATTGTATGAGCCGAAGTTATACATAACCCAAAATGGAAACCAATCAGGTGGTCATTTCAGAATGAGCTTTGACCAGCCTCAGGTTATAAAACATGACTAAGCGTCTTAAGGTTGCTTCCATCAACGCGGCTCCATAGCTACCTTGCCATCTCCAAAAGCTTCGAATTACAATTATACCAACTTCTTCGCCCTATCACTCAAACAACCCATTTTCTCTCCAAATCATTCGAAGCAATAAATAAACCTACCACTTGAACAATCAAGATGTCAGAACGCGACCTTCAAACCATTATTCAAAAACTCAAATCCCCATCAACATCCTACCAAGAGAGCTCATCACTCCTCTCCAAAGCCAAACTCACACTTCTCAAATTAAATGCCTTGACTCCACAAGCATCAACCTCACCTTCCATATTATCTCTCGCTCGCGAAGTCTTTGAAACCGGTGCCCTAGTTTCCATTCGGGCAAAGGATCCCGCTGGTTTCACACGTTACGTTCATCAATTAACTCCATACTACGAGCTTCCAGACGACAAATTTAGCGCCAAGAGCTCGGGAGAGAAGAATAAGATTACGGGATTATATCTTTTGTTGTTGTTGACACAGGGAGATTATGCGGGCTTTCACACGGAATTGGAGGGCTTGGAATTGAGGGAGGACGGTGGAAAGAGGGTCGAGGAAGATAAATATTTGGGATATCCTATTAAGTTGGAGAGATGGTTGATGGAGGGTAGTTATGATTTGGTTTGGAAGGCAATGGAGGGTGGTAAGGTGCCGAGTGAAGAGTATGGAGTTTTCAGCGAGGTGAGTTGGTTTTGTTGCTACGTTGTGTCTTGTTATCGTCCAACCAGCCGCGAGGTTGGAGGGGAGGGCTGTTACTGCGGATTTCGAGAACTTGACTAACTAACGCTGTACGAATAGATCTTGATTAACCAAATTCGATCTGAAATTGCTTCGTCTTCCGAAACAGCATATCCATCCCTACCTATTTCATCCACAAAGAATCTCCTCTTCTTACCATCAGAGGGAGCAGTAGTACAATTTGCGCAACACAGAGGATGGTTGATTGAAGATGGACGGATATACTTCCCTAATCAAAAGTTGAAGAATGGTGTGAATGTGGAAGCTGGAGAGGTTGCCGAGGAGAAGGAGGTTAGTATGACAGCTATTGAGAATACCCTTGGTTATGCTAGAGAGTTGGAGACTATTGTATAAGCTGGATATTGTGTCTGGCTGTGCATGATATTTGAATGATGGGAGGAATGGTGGAATGGAAGGGTAGAAAATGATATGCATAGATGAGGGAGCATAAGAAATCATGAGTGTAACTTTAGATAGCGGGCATGGCATAATATCCATATGACATTTCGACGACTTAATTTCATGCATGCATATTCTACTCTTAGGTCTGATCATATCAAAAATTATTAAAAAGTGGCTTTTGGTAGATCTAACAAGTGATTTAACAGCCGTATTTCAGTTCCAGAGCCTTCTTTATGCAAACGAGATAATAAATTCTTGTCTTTCGACTACTTCTATAAACACATACTATTCTTGATTTTACCGGACATATCAGTCGTTTTCCCAACAACATTTATATGGAAATGGATACTTGCTTAATTACTACGGAGACATATCCACTTGTCATTTGATGGCACTTTGCGCCAAAAGACGTGACTTCGCGAATCGAAATTTGGACAAAGCGCGTCTCCTTTAAAAATACCGGGGTAAACATCAAGATCTTCGTGCCACGAAACACGAGTTACGAGCTAAAAGATTGATTGAGAGGAGACTGGGTATCTAGAGATTTACAATTCTGTTGCACATTGGCTTTGAGGTCTAGCTTGAGGTTCCACCAGATTGATCACTGGACTCTTGATCGATTCCTTAAATCATCTTGAATTTCACAACAGATAAACAATGGATCTCTCCGCCACCACCTCAGAGATGGATACGGAGATTGAAATCCATAATCAGAAAAGAGATTTCCATCATCCGTACACACCGTATCTGATCCAGGAAACTTTTATGCAAACGGTGTGGGATGTTTTGGAAGAGGGGAAGATTGGGATTTTGGAGAGTCCGACGGGGACGGGAAAGAGTTTGAGTTTGATTTGTGGGGGGGTTGACGTGGTTGAGGGGGTGGAAGGGGAGGGTTTTTGAGGGGCTGGTTGAGGGGGGTAGGAGTGGGAATGGGTATGGGTATGGAGGGGAGAGTCTCGCAAGCTCGTCGGAACCGGAGTGGGTGATTGAGGCGGCGAGGGAGAGGAGGAAAAGGGAGTTGGTTTCGAGGAGGGAGGAGATGGAGAAGAGGTTGGACAGGATTAGGGAGAAAGAGAGGAAAGAGAGAGATAAGATGGCGGGAAAAGGGGATGGAAGGAGTGGGAAGAGGAGGAAGATTGGGGGAGATGGGACGGGGATGTTAAGGGAGAGAGTGCTGGTGGAAATGAAGATGAATTTTTATTGGAGGATTGGGATAGTGATGGGGAGAATGGTGGTAATGGCAAGAAAGGAACTGGAGATGAGACTATTTTCTCAAAAGAAACGTTGGAGTTGAAGAAGAGTGTTGGGTTGTGGAGTAAAGGAGTAGAAGATGAAGATGAGGAACTGGATGATGAGATGAAGGTTTCTATAAACTTTGGTTATTTTTGGGTAATTACTAACGTCTAATAGATATTTTACTGTTCAAGAACTCATTCTCAACTGACTCAATTTATCAACGAACTCCGACGAGTAGAATTTCCACCGTCCATACCTCCCTCAGAAGAAAAGAAAGAACCCCTCCACGAACACCTCAAACATCTAACCCTTGGTTCCCGCAAAAACCTCTGCATAAACCCCAAAGTAAACAAACTCAACTCCGTAACCGTCATCAACGAACGTTGCGCCGAACTCCAACAATCTTCAACCCCCAAAGAACAAAAATGTCCTCATCTACCCAATAAAGATAACAAACCCCTCGTCAACACTTTTCGCGATCATACACTTGCTACGATCCGCGATATCGAAGATATGGGTTCTCTCGGAAAAGAAATTTCAATCTGTCCATACTATGCTTCGAGAGCTGCCATCAGACCCGCGGAAATAGTCACATTGCCTTACCCGTTACTTTTGCAGAAGAGCGCGAGAGAAGCGCTGGGGATTAGTTTGAAAGGACATGTGGTTATTATTGACGAGGCGCATAATTTGATGGATGCGATTGCGGGGATTTATGGGACGGAAATGGAGTTGAGGGAGTTGAGGTTGGCGAAGGAAATGTTGGGGAATTATTTTCGGAAGTTTGCGAAGAGATTGGGAGGGAAGAATAGGATTTATGTGGCGCAGACGATTAGGGTGGTGGATAGTTTGGTGGGTTATTTGGTGAGGATGTTGGAGGGGTCGGTAGGTTTTTCTTCTTCTCCTATCTTGGAGTTTGGGGTTGAGGGATGTGAAAGAAGAGAATGAGATGAATGGAAAAGTATGAGAGAGCTAACAAATGAAACAGGCAATAGATGGAGTAGTCTCTCAAAAAGATCTCCTATCCGGAAAAGGAGCCGATCAAATCGATCTCTTCAAATTAATCCGCTACCTCCAAGAAAGTAAACTAGCACGCAAAGTCGAATCTTACACCGACCACATCCGAACATCCCAACCACAACCCTCCACCTCCTCATCCAAACCCAAGGATCCCCCTAAATCAACGCCCATTCTCCAAACTCTCACATCCCTCCTTCTCGCTCTCACCCACCCCACATCAGAAGGCCAACTCTTCTTCCTCAAACATGAAACCGACATTACTCTCAAATTCCAACTTCTCAACCCGGCCATCCACTTCGACTCCATCGTTTCTTCCGCCCGCGCCGTCATCCTCGCAGGTGGAACCATGTCCCCCTTCTCAGATTACACATCTATCCTCTTTCCTTCCATCCCCCCCCATAAAATCACAACTCTCTCATGTGGCCACGTCATCCCATCGAGTAACCTCTTCGCCAGTGTAGTCTCCAAAGGCCCAACTGGATATCCCTTCAAATGGACGTATGAAAATCGCGCGAATGCGGAGATGATGGATGAGCTAGGGAGAGTCCTGGTAAATGTTTGTACGGTTGTCCCTGGGGGCGTGGTGGTTTTTTTCCCTAGTTATAGGGTCCTGGATACGATTCTTGCAAGATTTGCAGTGATCAATCAAAATAGTAATAATAATAATAATAATGGGAGTAAACCCAAATCCCTCCTCCAAAGACTCGAAGAAAAGAAAACGGTAGTACGAGAAGCAAAAGAAGAAAGTGTGGAAGAGATACTGAGAAGATATGGAAAGGCGATAGAAGAGGGAAAGGGCGGGTTATTGTTTAGTGTTGTGGGGGGAAAATTGAGCGAGGGAATTAATTTCTCGGATGAATTGGGGAGAGCGGTGGTGATTGTGGGATTGCCGTTTCCGAATGCGAGGACGGCGGAGTGGAGGAGACGGTTGAGGTTTGTGGAGGAGAGTGCGGTTGGGAGGTTGGTGGAGGAGTATTGTTCTTCTTTGAAGGGGGTGGGGGATGGAGATGAGGAAATACCAAGAGAGGTCAAAGAAGAGATGCAGAAGAAAGCAAAAGAAGAAGCGAAGGAATTTTTTGAGAATGTATGCATGCGAGCGGTAAATCAGAGTGTGGGGAGGGCGATTAGACATAAAGGGGATTGGGCGGGGATTTTGATGGTGGATGAGAGGTTTAGGGGGGAGAGAGTTAGGGGAAAGTTGGCGGGCTGGATTAGAGAGGGGGTTAGGGGGGTGGGGGAGGAGGAGCAGGCATTTGGGAGGGTGATGGGGGGATTGGGAGGGTTTGTGAGAGGGGGGAGAGGTGGGTAGGTGGGAGATGGTGGCAGGAAAGGGGAGGTGAGAGAGGTAAGGCGAAGAGTCGATCAGATTTTTATTGAAAAGGAGATAGATAATCATGAATACGCGATTGTGTAAATGCTCAAAATTATCTCTCACATATACTCGCACACATATAGTGGTATACATACTGTTGAAAATCGTCGATACAGTAGCTGACCGCTTGAAGCACATCATAGCTCATATAGAGCTCTTCTCCTCCGTAGAATCTCAATCAAGATTGACAACTGATTCGATGCACCTATTTCTCTAGTGATTGAATAGTTCAACACGTACAGCAATTCATTCTTTACGAGATACTTATTCATAGTCACGAATTCACAGATTCACAATGTAAATTATATAAAAATCATCTAAACTACCCATCTAAATTATCTAAGGTATACCAGACCGGTACCCAATCAATAAAAAGTACATAGATGCGTACCTAGGTTGCGAGGGTAGATGACGAAAAATCTCTCGCTTAATATCATTTCTCGTTTCTCGCTTCTCGCTTACCGAGTACAGATGAACCTGGCTATAAGGGCCTAAAACATTCAAGGCCTAAATGCCCGTGTGAAGAGGTTGTTTGTATCCATATCCAGGTTTGCTTTGTTTCAAGCCCTGTCCTCGGCTTTCCCATTTTCATTAAATTTATTGTGTGAATTTAAAGAATCATTATGTGATAAATTAAAGCTTGAGTTGATTTTATTGATTTTTATGAGGGCTTTGGATTTGGATTTGAGAGATGAGGGATGAGAGGTGGGCTGTGGGAGGCGAGAGGGGGGAGGTGGGATTTGAGAGTGAGAGATTTGGTTATGTGGGTGATGTTGATGATGGGTAATGTTTGGATGATGAATGATGAATGGTGTATATAATATAGATTTGGATTTGTTAGGTGAGAGGTAGGAGATGGGAGATAAAAGTTAAGAGATATTAGATGAGAGATACTAAATAAGAGTTTTGAGGTTTGCATTATAAGGAGTCATATCTCTTTATTCTTAGGGGGTTAATCAGGTGTTTTTGATAGATTTTAGTGGCTTGATGATCGAGTCCGATGAGAAAAGGGAGTTTCATAAGGTTTAGATTTGAATTTGTATTTGAGATGGGAGATGTGAGAGTTCTTGTGTTTGGATTATTTAATCTGTTAATTTTGATAGAGTTCGTGTTTCATGATTGAGTAGTTAGATAGTTAGGATAAGAAAGGGGTGTTATGACTCATGAGGGTAGATTGTTAGATTGTCATATTGTCTGAAAAGCGATGAATTTGTTTGTCTTGTGAGCTTGGGTTGCATAGTACTGGTGGATTACATTTGTCAAATCACATATTGAGAGGAGAGTCTTTGTGGAGCTAGACACAATAATCTAGTAGAAACATAATCCTTAATCATCAATCAGGGTATACATTAGTATCAAAACTATATAAGGTCGTCGGCATATGGAGGAGGCGCTTCTTCATCATCATCTCCAACGTTAGGAAGCCCAGCATTATTGACCAACCTATCCGCTGCATTCAATCTCTTTTGTTCCTCCAATTTCACCACCCACAATGCCGATCCAACTGCTGAAGTCAGTAGGAAAAACATCGAAAGGACGGGCACAAGTTGTAATAGTAAAGCCACTGTTCCGAACCTATTTACTATTAGTATATCTCCATTTCATTATGAATAAAAGAATAACGAACCAAGTATATTTCCACTTCCTACTATTGATTTCTCTCTTCCCTTCCTTCTTCGTCAAACCACGTAATTTATTATATCTCCAATGATGTAAAGGACCAGCTCTCGCACCCGTCAGGACCAAGAATGCAGGTGTTCCAATTACGGGTATGAAATTCAGAGGAAGGAAGATAACAAATTCCGCTATTTGTCGAAAGGAAAATGGGGAGTAAACTGCAGATGTGGTTGGTTTTCCGAGCATTTTAACCTCATTCTGGGCATCGCGATTGAGTATTCGAGAAGGAGAAACGAGATCAATAAGTCCTTCTTTGATAAGTGTTGCCTATTTTTGATTTTGTTAGCTCTGCGAATCGAAAGAAGGAAGGAGGAATGCATACATCGAAAACATCAACCAATGTTTCATCTACCAATAATGCTTCAAACAACAACGCGATCAATACTTGTCCCTCCCCAAGCACAAGAAACACAGCATTAAACCATGCTCCTGGTCCATGCCAGATCGCCAGGAAAGCGACTTGCGGTAAATATGTAAAGGTAAAGAGTAAACCGAGAACAACAATTGATGTGATAGTGAGAGGAATTAATCGTTTGCCAAAAAGAGGATAGAATTGGCGATCGGCGAGAAAATATAAGATGCCTTTGAAAGGATAGAGAAAGGATGCGCTGACTACAGTTTTGATAGGAAGGTATGCGAGAGAAGGGTCGAAACGAGGGTGAGGCATTGGATTGGAGATGAAGATTAGAAAGATTGTGGAATGTGGAATATCAAATTGTGAGAAGAATTGATTTATTGAATAAGTTAACTTATTATGTTGTTGTCAATGATAATAATAATAAATGCGAGCTGGAGTAACCTTACCTAATCATCATGCTTATGACGCGCAAATCTAATCGTGATTATGTAAGCGATCAATGCAAGCATGGATCGCCAAGTATGGGGAAAATCATACACTACTGCGAGGACCGGTAAATGTTGGCGGGGCAGCTGCAGAGATCAGAAGTATCAACAAGAGTATCAAGTTGGCGTTGAACGGGTTGGATTCGATTTGTTGATTTGCAGAGTGCTTGTTGTTTATAGGTACAAGGAAAGGGTAGATATGCTGAGAACATGTAAGTTGTTCCTTTGGTTTGAATCAAGAACCAACATTTTCTACACACAACTTCAACTTCAACTTCCCCTCTTTCAATCCAAACGAGCGAGAGGTCGTCTCTAATATCGTATAAATAGGATTGAAACCACGATCCGTCTTCGTCGCGCAATCCATACACCCGATGCATCTCTCGTAAAACGAATCCTCAAATCCCATCCCAATCTTCTTCACAATCCCGATATCTCACCCCACGGTCTCTCAAACACATCTCTCCATCTAGCCTCTTCTCTCGGTCACCTAGAAGTTGCATCTCTCCTTCTCTCTCTCGGTCATGAATCCTTATCCATTTCACTCAATGAAGAACATCAAACGGCACTCATGCTTGCTGCTGGTGCCGGTCACACCGACATTGTAAATCTTCTCTGTTCGCAAGGTCCCTCCGTATCGGGTATTCTCAGAAGAGATATCCGAGGTCGAGATGCTATTATGTATGCCAGTCGCGGAGGCCATGATACTTGTTTACAAATTCTTTTGACCTGTGCAGCGGTCTACAAGGATCCGGAAGCGGTACTTGCAAATGCTGACGTGGATGGAAACACAGCGTTGCATTTTGCAAGTAGTAATGGACATATGTTGGTATTAAGAACGTTGTTGGCAGCGGGTGCAAATGCAGAGATGAGAAATGTGTGGAAGTGGACTCCGATTGCTTATAGTGCTACGATACAAGCGGAAGTTTATTTCAAGAAGTTGGTGAGTGAAGTGGAGAAGAGGAAGGAGATGAGAGTGGAGGTTAAGAAAAGTTCTATCCCGTCTAGTTTTGGTTTTGGTAGAGGAGAGAAGAAGGGGGCGGGTGTTAGGATTGTGACGGTTGATGATTGATGGGTGCACACACAACTTTGTGGGGATAACAACTGGACCCTGATGATTGATGAGTTAAGACGATAACGATCGTGATGATCTATATGGATGGGAGGCAAATGGGCACATGTATGTGTTTTGGTGTTTTGGTTTTTACATATTGCCTGCGCTTTTTGCATGATGTATCAATAGAATGCGACTTTTGCGAGACTTTCCCTTGAACAATATGTGTATAGCATTTGCCTATGCTTACTCTAGTATTTATATATCGTTTCAAATACAAAGAATTTCACACAGATGCCATTGTTGGCACATATTCATACAGCAATACAAGATTCAATCATCTCTTCACTGAGATGAAGAATTAGTGAGCAGAAATTTCATGCCTTTCTAGTGAAAGAGGCAAAACACATGTCAAGTAGGCAGTTAATGTCCAGTAAGATATATTTCTAAATAAGATCCCAATGATCAAACAAGAGAACCAAACGAAATCATTCAATCAACAATATTCAACACACACCAACATAAATTCCAAACCCACTTACAATCCCAAAAGAAAACATACATAACATCCACCAAACCAAAAACCGAACGCCACTCTCATCTCTACTTGAACCTTCATCCTCGTCCCAAAGACCAATAACAAGCACCCAAATCATCCATACCGGTAAAGCCATCAACCAAAGCCCTCTTTCTCTTCTCATCTCGTTCTTCATCTCGCCCTTCACAACCACAAAACCCCCAAACTTCCCATCAAAGCCAAAGTAGCAATCGTTTTCAACCCCATATTTCCTCTCTCCTTCACAGCGCCAGAGTTAGAAGTCGTACTCTCAGCAGTATTGGCGCTATCAGTTGCAGATCCCGTGGGAGTGGACTCTTCAGAACCGCTAGATTCCCCAGAATCTCCAGATCCACTCGTCTCGGCTACTTGTCCTCCTGTCTCGGTAGGATTACTGCTACTGGTTGCAGATGCGTATATTGCGCAGGGATTGGTGACTTGTTGATCTGTTGCTGTGGCGCTGAAGGCTGTGAGGCTGCGGGTAAGTTCTGGGGTTTGTTAGTTGGATGTGGTGGAGTAGTCATATTCTTCGTGCGTGTTCTCGGTGTATCTGATTTCAAAGTTTGGACTCGAGGGTTGCGAAAGTCGCGGGAAGATAACTCACCTTCTAAATTCAAACAAGCCGGTGCATTACTGCTATAACAATCCCCAACACTGGTCGCAAAGGCGCTGAGAGAACCACAGCATGGCTGGTCGAAATCAGCGGTTTGGGTCGCGCATGCGGGGAGTCCGCTACCGGTGATGGGACATTTGGAGTCGAGGGACATGAAGGATGACTTTGGTGCGATGATATTGTTAGTAGATTAAAAGTTCCCAGAACAACAAAATATATGATCGAGACCGAGGAGAGGAAAAATAACAACATACAATCGGACATCCAAACACCGTTTGCCCCGCAATATCACTCGGAACAAATGTAGGAAAAAGTCCTCCCCCATCGGTTATACCGCCGATTTCTGAAGCTGCGGCTGTAGTAGTCATGATTTTAGAGATTTCTTGATGTGTACAATAAATTTACTTTTTGCTGTGGAAGCCTGAAGGCTGGAGGGATGATTATGAAGGGCTTATATTATCAAGGTGCTAATATTGCATTCCTGGGTGAGACGTGTGGAATTTGATGGAGCAAGGGAGGGGTACGCGTTGGAATTTTTGGGGATTGTTGGATTAATACGAGATAGACGATGCCGGGTTTCGGGAAGTTTGATAGTAATCTTTCGGGGTTTATTAAAGGAGTGGAATTAGGTTGCCGTGATGTAAAGGGGAATAAATAGTCGTCGGATAATTCGGGAGGGAGATTCCTCGAAGTTGAGAGGTTTTTCGTTTACATTCATACTTCTCATCCCTAGATTGAAGAAGATGATACTTGGATCCAGTGATTCAGTGATTCAGTGATCTTTGGTTTCTTCTTATTGGGTTCGAGTTCTCTGAGTGAGTGGAAATATTCTTAGAACCCCGTAGCTTCTCTGAAATTTGAGGTTTCCAATTTTCTCGATGTTTACTACGATTCTAGATCTTTATCTCCAAGGGATTAATTCATAAATACGTTTTATCATCGTAGACTCTAGTTCTTTATATATTTTCTTACAATTAGTAGTGTCGAGTTTGTTTGCAGAAGTTCCATATGAAGGATCAGGGAATGCAATGTTGAATTAATCATATACTGTGAGTGATAAACATCAAGCCTAGTTTGCTCCTATCTCAAGAAAGATCCAGAAGAAGAAACCTTTACTCTCAAACACCTCAAGCTCTTTGCCCCTGGTTAGAATTATTGTTCAGCCATGCCTTGATCCATTTCTTCAACCAGATATCCTCTACTTTCCCCAAGTTCTAAAGCTTTTCGCTCTGCATCTGCGCTCCAGTTTCCCACTCTTTGCCCTCCTTTTTTCTTTCTTCTGCTCTGTATAAATGAGTCAATTTGATTGCGGGGTTTAATTCTACTAGGCGATTGAAATGCGTTTCCTTTGCGTTGGTCTCTTCTGTGCTGTGAAAAGATTGTTGATCCACTGTCTCTTCAACTTTCTGAATCCAGCTCTTGAAGCTTATTTTCTCCACTTCGGTTTCGACACTGCTGCTTGAAGAGAGTGTTTTTATAACTGTTGGTAGAAGGTTTTGCCACTTTTCCTAGCATAGTTTGAGTAGATTAAACACTTTTGCACCGTCATTCTCTCTACTGTGTTGTAGAAATTGGCGAAGTTCAACAAGCATCTCAGATAGAGCATCAATAGGTACCCAATCACTCCTGTCCAAATCCCATCCTAGTAAATCCGGCACCGCACCCACAAAAGGAGGAGGAAATTGTCAAGCTGGGAAACCCATCTCGGCTCCATACAGATGGCCCTTGGATAGGACCGCATATCTGACCATCACGTGCGATGTTGACCTTGAGTTGAATATTTTGCTGGCGTAGTCTAAGGTTCGTTCTGAGAGGTATTTACTCTCACCGTGACCCATAGACTCCGACGCCGAGACATCAATGAATGATCGCTTGTGGGATTCTGCTGATTGGTTCGCCGACGGAGGTGAAGTTGGACACGGCACTGACGGAGGAAACATATAAAAATGATGGCGATCTTGAAGCTTCACTCGCAAACTTGACCAAGTTGACAACTCCTAGAAGGTGTGGGTGATACGATGCTTGATTGATATGAAACTTGAGCGGCAAAGCATTGTGGATAATCTGCGTAATGTTTTGCAAAAGGAAAGTGTAGATTTCATCACCAAGCCCTAGCTTGGATTTTGAAAGATCGGCAGAAAGAAATGTAACGCGGTCTTTGGGAAATTCTGTAAGCAGGTCTCGACTCTTGTTTTTTTCAATCTATAAGGATTTGCTGTCGGTAGATCGATTAAGACAGTAGATATGCGTAGTGGTGGTTGCAGTCAAGAGTCTTTGCAAGATATAAGAACCTAGCCCGCCTGTCGAGCCTGTGAGGACAATACTTCCACCATTTATTGTCGGCGATGGAACAGGGCTATATTCCAAAGGAGGAATAGGGTCGATCAAGCTACAATATCCCACAAGTAAATGCTCAATATTTTTCACGCGGTTTCTTTAGCGAGTAGCGGCATACTCACATCCTCTTCTTGTTTCAAGAAGTGTTGCAAAATTCGCGCGAGTGAGAGGAGGGATGGATTTGAATAGATATCATTAACGGCCAATTGTGGAAGATTGAAAACTCGCTTCAAGTTGCGTATGAACATCAATGCTTGTAAGGAATCCATGACATTTAGGAAAAAATTGTCTTTGCCGTCAAAGGTCAAGCCTGTAAGTGTCGTGATAGTATTTCTTAGATATGAGATTGAACTCCCCAAGTTATGAGGATCCACGTGTGGGATCAATATAGTATGGACTCGATTGAAGTCTGGTCGGCAGTTTCATAGAGCGCATCAAGTTCTTTCTCGTACTGCTCCAGACTAGCTGCTCTCATAGTAGTCCCTTTGGGCGTTTTAACCATCGGACGAGCCAAAGGAACTAACAGAATATGAGATCTAGCTATTCGTGCATGCGTGGGGCATGTTCTATTTGCCTCTTCGATCGAAGGCCATATAGTATCCACTAGGTCAAGTTTCCCCGCGGGCGTTAGTTCCTCTTTACTGGTGACTTCTAATAACATCGAGGTTTGAAACCGTTGAGAGCCGGCTACTAGCACCCTGCTTATCTCTCGGTGACTCGATAGAATATGCTGCTCAGTAGGTATAGGATATGTTTTCTCTCCATTTACGAGAACGATGATATCGTCCGATCTTCTATAATGGCTTCAGCGGTTGGGTTTGGAGGAGTGAGGAATAAACAATTTGCGAGTTTGGTATTCTTGAAGATCAGGAAATGTTTTGAAGATTCGTTGATGATTCTCAAGGGTCTTGTCTCAGACGATGAATAAATCTTATGTGATGTCGTTGTAGGGACGAAATTCTACACCCGTGTCGGGATGTTTGTGAAGATATTTCCAATCTTCTCGTGTCGTTTCTTCAGTTCAGCAAATTAAAGGAAGACTGACGCCTTCAGTGGTTCCATAAGAATTGATGAGTTTCGCTCGAGATGCTACGATATTGCCACAGCCAAGAGGTAGATCTCTTCCTGAATATACCAAAGTTTTGAGACTTTTGGAGATATGTTCTAAGAGCTCTGGCGACTTGCGAATTTCCTCCAAGATTGATGACACGACGAAAGCAACTTCAATTTTGTTGTTTTTTTGATGCCCCGGATAATGACTGTGCTAAAGGTATTGCAGCTTGCAAGGGAAAGATCACGGAATTTTGGAATGATATTCCATTGAATATCACATACGCAATGTAGACGGCTTATATTTGCGAATTAGTTGGCCGCGATATTTGATTCGTGAGTAGAAAGGAAAATACATACATAAAAAGGAGGAAACATAACGAATATTCGATTTCCTTCGTACATTTTATCTACACTTTCAAACCCTGCTGGAGGATTCAATGATAATGACGTTGCATATGCTGCACAAAAATCACGCGTCCAACTGATGGGTTTAGGAAAACCAGTGGACCCCAAAGTGTGCATGACGAGCAATGGCTCACCGCATACTTCATCGAAGGTCTTTTCATACGGAAAGTGTTTTGATTGAGTGGTTAATAGATCTTCAATCAGTAGAATTTCCAAGGTTTAAAGTGCAGAACCGGCAGCAGCTATAATTGCCGTCTCGGCTGGCAATGGTCGACCAGAGGTACTAAATGTTTTACATTTCGTAACCTTCATGAGATCAAGTTGAGCCGCGACACTATTTCTTGGCGATAGCAGGAGCACCTAGAAACAAATATTCAGCAGGTAATTAAGATCTATCCGTAATCTTCTTATTTTTTACCTAGCTTTAGCAGCTCCCAAAATGAGCGATGGATATATAAAATTGTTGGGGCCAATATAAGCTAGAGTTTCGAATTCTTTTCCCACCCGCAGATTATCATGCAAGCACCACGCAACTCCATTAATAGCATTAGCGAAATCCTTATAAGTGACTTTGCGAAAATCTTCATCATAGGTCACTGGTGAGACGGGGAACTCGACGTATAGAGCTTGCGGCTTTGTTTGAGCCATGTGGTCAACGATGTGTACGAGAAGAGTCTTCGCTTGGGGCAAAGGGGCTCCTGCTCCATTGATCGCGTGTGAGGTCTTGATGATAAGATGATATCTTGTGGTATAGTGATTTCGATAAAAGATTGTCGGAAATGAACAATGATCACAGGTAGCTTTATAGATAGGTGTAAGCTATATCAGCCGTCTAATAAAAGGTTGACAATGTGAACCAACAGTCGGTTTGTTAATCTCGTAAGCTCAAATTAAAAGAAACTTCCAAAACCAACAACTTTGAGTGCCTAGGTAGGCATATGTAGCTCTTTGAATCCGCAAGATACTATAACGCTGATATCATATGCTCGAGAAGAGTCCGATGGTTTTTGTATTTGAGTAATTAAGACCCTGTGAGGATGTCTAAGCTCATGTAGTATGAGACTGAAAACACAACATAACTGATAAATTCTGCGTTACCCATTTGAGACATGTTACTCAGAGTAACAAGATTGCCACATGAGTATTTCAATGCTACCCAATATCCTAAACATAGCTATGTAATTTCTCATCACATGGATGGACCATCTAGCATGTACAACTTATGGACGTCTTGATGGTACAATCATGGTGGAAAGCCTGAAAACAAGAGCCAAGGCATATACTCGTGGGGAAGGAAAGAAATCAAAACATCGCCCGACGAAATATCCGCGAGCAACATTCCCGAAATCAAAAAACAACGATGATTGATCAAGACTTCTTGACGAGGCGCGGAATTTATCGATCGCTGGAATGGGAACAACTTCGTCGACTTTAAGCGTTAGAAGCCTTAGATAATGCAGAATTTCCTAATCGTTTCCAACAAATTGATCAGGCTTTGACGTTCTACCTGCTATCTGATCCGAAATTTCTGATAAAACTACGAGCCGAGTTAAAAAATGCTTTTCCAAATCTGTCAAATGAACCGATTCTCAAAGACATCGAACAACTTCCAATCTAAGTGCGTCAATTCAATTCAAGAAAGTCTCAGAACCGCAATGGGTACCAGCCCAGCAATCGACAAACAAGAAACGCACCTGACCAAATTATGAAATATGACGATGGAAAGAAAGCCGAAATTATTCTCCCAGGTGCAAGTTGTTCGAGCCCACAGATTTAATACTTCACAAACCCGACCAGACTAATATAAGTACAACAAACCCCCTAATTCACCTCAACCCAAAAAGATTCCACAATCCTCTCGTCTTCGACCCAGATCATTTTATCGAAGATGTAAGCCTAAGACGCAATCTTACGTCATTTTCTCAGGTTCAAGACAACCTCTTGGTATGTAACTTGCATATGGGGAGTTGTGTCTGATGCTTGCATCTCTGTGGCGGAAATTCGAATGTGAAGAGAGCAAAGGAGACGAGGGCTGGTTGGAACTCTATCAGACGGATAAGCCGGATTTTGAGATGGCTGCTGATAGACCTGTTCCGTATCCTAAGAAGGGGAGCAAAGGTATTCGTATTGTTGTTCGAAGATGAGAAATCGCATTAGTCTGTGAACTGTTGACTTGGATTACTTCTGGGCTCAGATTATGTGTGTTTCTTTCTTACATTGAGGGAGTTTGACTTACATATCAATCTGGTTGATTTGCGCCAATAACCGAGAAGACTTCCCGAGTTCTACTACAATAATACTATAGTCTTCATAAATCATCCCATGATCTAGCTGTTGAGATCTTGAGCTTCATGGGCTCTATCCCCCGTCTTTAGATTCAGCGAAGAAACTAACAATTTCATCTTCATCCCGTCTCACTTCCAAGTCACATGGCAACGTATCATCACTCTGATCCATCGAATTTGTTTCAACGCAGACTTATTAGTTAAGTAATTAGTTAAGTAGAGCAACGAAAACAATCAAGTGTCTGCAGGCGTATTTAATCAGGCTTAAGTTGCTAACTTCATCCTCGATCATATAAGAGGGTATTCCTTTTCTTCGTCTTAAGATTTTCCAGGACAGTAGAAGATCCTTCTCTCACAGGAAGTGAATTCATCCTTGCTGTTTTCAAAGTTCCATCTTCCGATCTAACTGAATCTCATCTTGCCTTTTAGAAGGGACCTTTTCCCAATCGAATGTGGCCTTGTCGCATTCTCCTCATCGATTGTAGCACCTTTTCTTTGTCTCCTCAAACCCTTCCGCCAATTCCGCCTCGAATTTGTGCCGTCTGATTTTTCACCTGCAGCAAAGTTTCCACCCATGGAAAAAATAGATGCCACGACAGATGAGGGAACCGCAGCTGTCGCGATTTTGGCCAATTTGACCAGCGCTTCGCGCCTATCTATTAGCAACCATCGTTTGTTTGTTGGCCTCCGATATCTGCAGTCTATTTGCGTACGCTTCGTTAGTGCAGCACGTTGAGCGTACTCCTCCATGTGCTGGTTTATCTGTATCTCGATGACCCCCAGCTCCTTGTCTAGGGATCTCCAAATGCTACTTTCCTATTCAATCTCTTCTATGCTATTGTCTTTCCCTGTCTGAGACCTGCCGCTGTTCAAATGAGAAGAAGAGTCCCATTTGCACTGAAATTCTCGCATAATTAACGTAACTTGTTTTCTGGTGAACCGCACAAGTGTCCTTTCTCTGATTAAACTTTGATACCCGGCAACAATCGTACGGTCGTTGAGTTGTACAGCCTCAATCGACCCGTATAACAACCATATAACAACCACATCACAAAACCCGATATTGAAAACACATAACCCCTTACAACATGCAAAAATCCATGAAAACTCGATATGATAATCTTCCGCATGCTCGTAATCCTCTCCTTCTCTCACACACACACACACTCACACATTTATCTACCTCCCTTTCTCTCTTTCTCTCTTTTGATCTCCCTCATTTACTAGAAAAAAGGGAGCTGAATTCCCTATTGCTCTAGTAGTAACATTTGGCAACAGCATTAACAGAGTATAATACTATATCTTCTCTAGTATCAACATTAGAAAAATTGTCTACACACAACTTGAGCCTATTATTCCTTCGCTCTCCCCTCGGGCTCTCCCTCATCAGCACTAAAAGTTTTTTTTCTTCAGGACAAACATAAAGCATAGACTATACAAGTATGTAATCTAACTTGATGTAAAGGAAAACTACTTTTACAATATATCAAACAGCAAATTACTCTAATGCCCTAAAAGTAAGAGGT